CTGTCAAACTAATTGTCAGTATATTTTTTAGTTATGAGTTATTTTTGTGTAAAATCGATAAATAGTACTAGGTATTTGTATTTTTATTTTGTCCACATTTTGAAAACAATCTTAAATTTGAATCAAACTAGGTATATAAAACTAATTTAAATACTAGTATCAAAACTGAAATCGTAAGTGTGGAAGTGGAGCTAAAGGATACGGGTTCCGGGTTCGAATCTGGGCGGGGGACTAATTAGATAAAATTTATTTTTTTTTTTTTCATTTTTATTTTATAAATTAGTAAAAGTCATAAATTATTTTAAAAGAAGTTATTTTCTCTTAATAAACTAAAATATTTTTTTTAAATTTGTAGATTTTTCGATAGTGGGTCGTAGAAAAATTATAATTTACAACTTGAGTGGATTGTCCATATCGAATTTAGACGATTGAGCACTTTCGAATTAACAAAAAATATTTATGAGCGGTAAATAAACACTAATTTTTTTTAACTAACGTACACACCATTAACTATGACATCTATTAGGTACCTTCGCACATTCAACTTTATGACATCAGTGTAACACTTCAACTTTACTATTATTATAACTGCAGAGGTCGTAATATACACACATTAAATTTTAGGAATTAGTGTAACACTTCAACACAATTTACTATTATTGTAACAACAGAGGTCGTAATATTATACACACATTAAAGAACCCCGCTGTTTTCTTATAGCAAATGGCTTTCGTTTGAATCTGTTGAAGTTAATATGTTGGAGTTTTCGACCTCATGATTAAAAGTGTGCATGGGCACAAAGGCCTATGACCAGTTTTTGAGATACAGGGTGTTAAACTTGTGAATTATCATAATTTTCAAAAATAATTTAAGACGTAATTAATATTTGTTATTTTGCTTATATTCATAATTATTAAAAGTTCCGGTTTTACTGTCTAGAATTAATGTGACTACCAAAATACAATACCAACATTTTTGGAAAACAACTATACAGGGTGAGTTATTTCTAAGAATAATATAGAAAATGCACCAGTACGGAGTGAGCCAAAAAATGGGTTCAATGAGAGTCGCGATTTTACAATATATATCGTAATGTGTCCGAAACAGGTACAACATCACATTAGCAAAAATATATACGCGGAAAATAAAAAGGTATATTAGGAACAGAAAGTGTTATTTTTTACAAAACTCCCTGTAGAGGCATTATTAATCAGTCAGTAACTGTGAAAATACACTATTGTTTTAATGTATTCAAATCATACTAAATTTGTCCAATTAATTATCTCTTTACAGGGAGTTTTGTAAAAAGGCCAATTTTGTATTTATATTTTTTACCCTACGTGTATATGATTTCCTAAATATATAAATATTTTTTTAATGAGGTTGTACTTGTTTGAGACACATGAGCGACACTCATTGAACCAACTTTTTGACTCACCCCGTATAAGCATATTTTTGTAATAATAAAGCGCCTTTTAAATACACTTGTATAACCATACATAAATAATCTATTTATAATCAATATTTTAGACGTTTAACGATTTTTTAAAAATGCAGATTTTTTATTTTAATTAAAAAAATTACTTACCCTATATAGTTGTTTTCCAAAAAGAATGGTATCGTATTTTAGCAGTATCTTAGACAGTCAAACCGTATCTTTTAATATTTATGAATATCAGAAAAATAACAAAATTTACGTTTTAAATTATTTTTGAAAATTATGATAATTCACAAGTTCAACATCCTGTAGCTCAAAAACTATTCATAAGAGATTTATGTGCCCATATTATTATTAACATTATTAACATTTGGCAAAAACTCAACAATTGCTGAGTATAAAAATATATTTGGCAGATATATTTTCTTCGTAATAACAAACAATAATATATCTCCCTAATGCACCCCCTTACGAGTGAATTTCAACCCCGAAGCCAACTGAGCGACTTGTGTAAAGGAAGGAACGGCTTTTATTTTTATTATTATTATTAATTGCCGTGGCGCTCCGGGGCGACTTAAATGGTGCCATTTGACTTACAGGTAAGGAAAACCCGGAAAACCTCACCCACCATCATCGAAACCGTAACGCATAGTTATTTTTAATCTGGACGTCATATCAACAAAAATTAAATTTCTGCTAATACGCCACACATCAAATCTTATAACGAACCATGCAATTAAAAATACATGGCCTGCTGTAGGATTCGAAGTCGCTTTCTCTCAACCACAAACTTGCCTATACATGTTTGTAAATATTTTTTAAATACCTTGTATAATGATAAATAAAAAAAGTTATGTATCAAAAGGATTATTTGGAATTAAAAAGATTAGGTTAACAGTAAGATTTTATTACAAACATAATACTCATATGGTTAACTTCTAAGCCCATAAAAAATCATATATTACATATCTAGCCGAGCGTTTAGATAGATTACCGGGCTACAATTAGTTCCCGCGAGATACGTATACGACTTATTACGTATTATTATTATTATTATTGCTAGCTAGGAAAGTAGCTTTCCCGGTCAGCATGGACTACTTTCCGGCTAGCAAATGTCACTGACTATATGCTTCGTGTTTTCGTTTCTCTTCCTGCTTTTTTCCAGAATTTTAAATGTCGGGATGTCATATGTGAAACTCTAAGTCGCTAAGGCCGAGGTTATCTTCTTAATCATCACTTTCAGAAGTATACTAAGAGTTCGAATAACACAATATTGTATCAACAACTTCCTTCTGGGACGAGCGTTAGAAACAATATATAAATTGAAGGCAATAACAACTTTCGGATAGGTTATTGTATTGATAATAAAGATGTAATATTTTATAATCTTTTTGGGTAATGATAAAAATAGTTTTTTTCAAATAAAAGTTGCTTTAAGTATTAATCTATAAAATTCCTGACCTATACTTAATTTCTCTAAAATGGACCGTATTCGAGATATTTGAGAAAATGTGTAAATTTAGAATTTTGAAGAAAAATCAAAAACGGATAAACGCACGCTAATTGAGCTTTTATAATTAACCGCATGGGCGCTGGTACTGCTTAAGGTGTTCAAAATACATATCTTCTTATGGGAAATATACATAATTTTGTCAAAATAATAAAAATAAACTTGTTTATAGCTAAATAAAGCACAGAACATACTGTTGTATTTATTTCTAAATAAGTCTTGCATGTTTTAATTGATAAATTATTTAATTTTATCTATATAAAATACAAATTAGGTAGGTATGATCAAATTCGAAAAGGTTTGTTAAATGCTGAAATTTGAGAAGTACAATTTTGTGGCAATTTTTTTTTTAATTGAACCTATATATAGTTTTAAGCGCAAAATAAAACACAGTTAACAGATTTTTTTATTGTTGTAATACAAGTATAAAGGGAGATTTGGAAATGTACATGATATTACCTCATCCTTTAATTTCAGCTTTCCCTTTTTTATTTTGCTACCAGTACCATCAGTAAAAATAGTCTCATAATATTTGATATCTTCTAAAAAGTATAGAACAGCATCATATCTAGAAAGTGCTTTATCGGCACTAGGAACTATATATATGCTGCCACTTTTCCAAGCATTTAGTATCCTATAAAAAACATTTACAATGACACAATTGGGGTTCAATAAAAAAAATAATAGTAGCAACTCTTTATCTAACATTAAAACTCTATAAAAAATACATTTTCTTTTCTAGTAAGTTACATTTAATGTATAATTATTGTTGTTTCTAAGTCAGGATCTATGACTGTAAAATTTTAGGCATAAGCTTTTATGTTTATTTTGAAAACCATGGATGATCAATCTATACATATATCTGTCTATATCATTGACCCTATCAAACCACTATGCTCACGGTGCCTGTCAGTGGACTGTCATTTCAAACGTCCAGACATTTTGTTTGGAATGCCTAATTTAAGTTTAGTGACAAATTGCTCTTATAACTAATCATCTTCGGTTGTTTCCCGCAATCGGCCAAAGGGCGACTATAGAGTAACCTGTAAACGAGCGGTCACGAGTTACACAATTTTCGAGCACTCTAAGTGCGAGTCTGGAACTATTAATCGAAAACGCTATTAGTTACTACGAAAAGGTACAAAAATTTTACACAAATATTGAAAAATAAGCACCATATTCTCTAATCCACTAGGGGATAAAAATACAAGGTACACTAGTATAAAGGCGAAAAGAAACTAAACTTTTTTTTATAAATACTATTGTTTAAAAGGAGTCAATACACGGGTATTATTATTTGTCGTGGCACTGCGTCTTACAGATGATTGATTTGTGCTATTTGAATAATGGAGCCACTGAGATTCCACATCCACTTTATAGTTCAGATTTAGTATACTGCGATTTCCTTTTTTCAAAAAGAACTACAAAGGTAGAAGGTTTGAGAAAAGTATTTATTTAATAATAATTACAAGCACGATTAGTTTCGGCCTCACAGGGCCATCTTCAGGCCTAAAATACAAACACTTCTACTTTAAGATAGGAAAACAAAAAATTATAAAATATTTAACTTACGAATAAATAACTCGTTAACAGTTTTTAAGTAGGAATTCATATGGATCCATATTGTAAAGAACGAAGTAATTAATGGCAAGTAGCCGGCTAGCGATAAGGATAGTATGTGTGCCTTATTTTCTAGGAATTATTTAAATTGAACCGATTTGGGTAGTAATAAACTACATGTAGTAATTATTTTCGGAAGACAAGCTCCAAAAATTCCTATTGTTCTTCCTTAATAGGTAAGTCAATTAATCTTTTAATTTGCATTCAAATTTTGTAAATAGCAGGACCTTTAGGAATAAAACCGAAAAAACAGTAATGAGAGTAGTGTTTTAAAGGTACCATTTTGGAACGCGAGACCAAGACAGGCGTCAAGCGACCGCGTGAGGAGACCGAAATGTGTCTTTTAACACGGCAGTGGTTGCTGCTTGCTGCCTGTCGTCTGTCTCGCGTTCCCAAATGGTATCTTTAAAATTTAAGTATTTTTATTCTTACCTCAATTTTGAAGCATATTCGCATTCTATAGTAGCTCGATCCCTTACGAATTGACCGTATTTTTCCAAAAAATCAATTCCTTTTAGTGTGTGAAGAGACAGATTATCATACTGGTCCTATAACAAAAAGAAAAGAAAATTATAAAATTGCTAAGTTAAGAGGAAAATTTACATTACAAACTGAAAGACCTGCGGGGCAACGGTAGTTTAGTAGGTATAAAAATTACAACTTTAGGGTGGAGCCTAAATACTACAAAATTACTTCCGAGACTAAACAAAATCCGGATTCATTCATAATTTTAACAATTGCTTGTAGATACGAGGGATACGTATTCCAAACTCTAACGCGCGAAATTAAGAAAAAAGAACCGAAAACACCTAACACGGCTGCCGAGTGAGTCAGAGTTACCTAAATTAGGGGAACCAGAATCGTATTTGTTTTTCTCGGTGCATTGCGAGATCTTGTTATAACGCAGTTCGATTTTTAGAGGGTTTTACATTATTTTTATATTTTAATTTAGTGAATAGGTTTAGTTAGATTAAATTACATTTAAGAGTATAGAGTTGTGAAATATAAATACAAATAACGAAAAAATAGACGATTGGTTCGAATAAGGTAATATCAATTAATACAGGGTATTTATTAATTGAGTGCCGATACTTAGAGGTGTGAATCCTTTGGGTGTTAAAGTTTTAAGAAAAAAAAAAAACTATTTTATCATAAGTTTCTTATCACTCTAGATATTTTTATGAAATTTTGCCCAAAAAAAGTGTTTCCACTCATGGTGGGTTCCTACCAAATTTCAACAAAATATCAAAAGCAGTTTCAATATACTGGTTTTTATTTTCTTACCCGGAAAGGGTGCTTTGTACGAAAGTACGTCATAAACCAAATTTGCTCCAAAATAAATAAGGATTTTAAAGATAATTTGGTTTTTAGAAAAAGCAGTGGCGCACCATATTTTTGTTCAAAAATATTCAGTTCAAACCCGGTACGGACGTCACTGGTAAAAATTTAAAAGTCTTTTACGACAAAAGGTGAGATTGAAAGTGAAAGTTTAGTCTGTTATATATATACTATATTTATATATCTAACTTTTATTATTACACTGAATGTGATATGGCTTTTTTGTTTGCCTTTTTTGGATCAACAAAATATTATTTTAATGATTTAAAATAAACTGCCAGTAATAATAATAATTATATGTACTTAAATATATGCAAAGTGAAATCATAAAACGACGCATCAAGAAAGCACCAAATTATTAAACTTTTAATTTGCGTAAGATGTATTAAAAGTAATTTTAAAAAACCGACTTTAAAATCGTGCAGATGCCATCACCACATCTGAACCAAATTTATATGGGACCACCCCTGAGGTACCCCATTACTAACGAAAAGCATTATAGAAATCGGACAAGGTGGTAAAGAATTATCGCTAAACATACATAAAAAAAGAAAAGTTTGAGGATTTTCCCATTGACCCAATTATTAGATTTTGACCAAATTTTCAAGGGACCATCCCGGAAGTACCCCCTTTCCAGCAAAAAAGAATCATTTAAATCGGACATTGTGTTAAAGAATTATCGCTGAACATATATACAGACGAATTGAGAACCTCCTCCTTTTTGAAGTAGGTTAAAAAGGATATAATAATCTATATTATTTGTATTAACTAAAAAACTACTATGTGGAGTTATATACATACATCTTCTTAAATTAATCTTATATGTAAAAATTTGGGTTCGATTCCTAGAAGAGTACCTAAGTTCACTGTGCAGCCAAATTTATATTTATGGTACAGAAATTTTTGAATAAATAAAGTTTTAGGTTTAATTAAACACCAAGTTTTATCAGGAATAACATTTTCTGAAAAAAGTAACATAAAAAGCAGACTTTTTGCGAGCCACTATATATATTTTAGAGGACAATCCATATTATTTTAGAAAACTAAATAAAATTTTTGTATAAACACATAAATGTGATTTATCTTTTAGAATATTTTATATGTTTGTCAAAGTTTACTAATTCAAAAAAAAAAGAAATATTCTTCAAAATTTTTCTTAATTTTTTTAACACGGTACAAAATACCTTAATCCGTTTATAGTTATCGAAATTAGTAAAGAATTTTAACTCGTTTAAAAAGCGTTCTTTCTCTTTCCATTTCCTATAAAAACTAATAGACCTTTTTGAAATAGGTATTCGGTGACTTTTCTTCTGTTTTATTGCCTTGAAAATGATATGATTTACATAAAAAACAAAAACTGACTTATTATTTTTGTGAAATAAAAATATGTTGTTAGTTTCACAATTTTCGACTACTTTTTGTTTCCAAAAAAGAAATACGATGTTCTTCTGTAAATATTAACACATGGTTTAATGGGCTTTTTTTTTTTTTTAATATTCTTTAGTATTTTCATAATTTGGGAAACAGTATAGCATTGAAACTTCTATACCTGAAAAATTGTGAGTACGCTTTTAATTAATTGTCTGTTTTTTATCTCACAATGTCTCGATAAGAAGTTATATAGAAAAAGTTAGTATTCAATATCATCTAGACAAAAAACAAAAACATGTTTAAATGAATATATTAAATAAATTATGAGTATTCTTTAACAGAGATATATTTATTTGTATTATGGAAATATTTATGTCGACAAACTTATGTTCGATATTTGTATCAATTTGTAAAAATAACTCTTGTATAATGATAATATTAAATTTAAAGATTTTAAATAAGGACTTGCAGATATCACAATTCGAAATTTTTTTTATTGGCCATAAAACTTTTTTTGGAATGAAAGCATTAGTTTCTGTTTTTCAGTTAGGCTCCATAAATTCATATTTTAATCTGAACGCTACTTAAAAACAGTAAAGTTGCAACAACTAAACAATATAGTGAACTTTTCGAAAATGTCTAAATGAAAATCAATTTATATTTAAAATTAAATAAGTTAACTAACATTTTTGACCGTTATGAAGTTAATAAAGTTATAAATAACGTCGTTACAAAGATTTATGTTTGAATTTTAAATTTCTATTGATAATAGTTATTCATCTACGTATTACAATAACAATACCTACATGACTTGGCTTTGACACAAAACCCTGTATAGTAAAACTTCTAATCCGAATCAAAATCTTGAAACTATTATTTGGGGACTTAAAATCGTGGTCCACTAGTTGGTGTAGCCTTTTAAAACATTTGGTATTATAATAATAATAATTATATATCATCAATTACCACTGCCACTGGTAAAATCTTAAATTTAAAATAGTGTATTATAATAATAAAACATTAATCATATCTTAAATGGATCGCCTACTACCATGTTTTAGAAATAAATAAAATTTAATTCTTAAATTAATCAAAATATTCAAAATAATATAAGATTCCTTGCGTTATGTTAATAAACATTAAACAAAATTTCTCACGAATTATTTAATATTCTGTCCCGTACTTCCATGTCTCTATTGCTTCGCTGTCAACAAGTTCCGGCAAGACATATTGCATATAAAAAAATTTAATTTTATTTTGTATCTTTTCTTCTCAAAAGCTGTCAATATGAGATATTTTCTCCACTTTTATTCCTCCAGAAGTCCAAAAGCACAAAAGCACAAAATGCAAAAATCCATTTGTGTTATGTGCAGCTAGCCCTGAATTTGAAAATACCAATAGTGGTTGTCCTTAATGGAATTGTTCTTTTTCCAAAAAGTTATTTCTCTACTGCATATTTCTTCTGCTACAGTCAGCCCTTCAGCTCTATATGGACATTTTAACTCTATCATAGAGTTTTGTTTTTTTTTTTAATTCCATCCAGACTGGCAGCAACATAATCAAATTCGAATTCAATAAAATGTCCACATTTAAAAACTTTTACTTGCAAATAAATTTCCAAATCTTATTTTGCTCTGAATTTATGGTCCATGCTATATCGGGTGGCTTTAGAAATAAATAAAAGATTTTAGGAGATTTTTTACAATTTTTCCAAATTTTAAAGCAGTGGAAACAAGTCTTTTATTGTACCACAATGCACAATCAGCTTGTTACAATCGTTTTTCTCTCATTTATAGACATTGGCTAACTTTTTAGAAAATTTTCTCTTGCAACGCGCCTCAAAGGGTGCGACAGATCAAAGCCATGCGCGAAAGCAAAAAAAATATTTACATTACCTTAACGGATTGAAGAGATATTAACATGCTGGAATTAATAATTATTGTTGACTCGAAGAAGTATTCATTAAACAAAAACATATAATTCACATCTCAGTGTATACCTTCCAATTTCGTATATATATATTTTTTAATAAATAAATGATAAAATTAATTTAATTTAATTGAGCGAAATTACTGTGTGTAAAAAATAACAACATGAATTCAAATCACTTACGTATTGTTTATCACTAAAGAGTAGAAAAAGATATATATTTTGTTGGTATCACCTTCTAGACGAAAAAGCTTTTAACGTATATCTATTTTTATTGTAATAAAAATAAATGCTCCTGTAGGCAAAAATTAAATATATTTTTCTCTTCTAGCATTTTTTAACATTTCTATTTCTTTTCTTAGATTTTTTCAAAAGAGACATATTTTTAAAGTAAATCCGGAGAGGTATGGATTAAGCCTTTACCTGTACTTACATAAAATTTCTTTTAGTAAAATTAAAAAATAATCCGTAAAATTGGTGTACTATGAAACCCTTGCATATAATATATATATGCTAATCTTAGTATTACAGAAATAAATTACGTAAAACATAAGGTGTACAAATACGTAAAATTTATTTATCCCTCGTAAAATATCTGTAAAATATATTATAAATTGTTTTCATTCACAAATATTAATTTCTTAAAAATCTAACAGAGGCGCCACTTTCCAGACGAAAAATCTTGCAGTGTAAGGGTTTCGTAGTACCCCACTTTTAAAGTTTATTTTTGACTATTTTTAAAATAAAAAAATATATATGTGTAGGTAAAGGTTAAATCTATGCTCCTCTGGAACCACTTTTTCAAAATTCAATTTAGTTTTTTCTAAAAAAAATTGAGAAAATGGGTAAAAAAAGTCGAGATTTGTATTTTTTTTTAGAAAAAACAGTTTCAAATTTTAAAAAAGTGTTT